AAAGATCATCAACTTTTTTCCAGTTAATGTGTGACGATGCTGACCTCCTTCGTCGTCATCCTACCTTTTTTTCACCTTCTTTGCTGATTTCTGGCCACTTACTTTTAAAATCTTGAATCGTTCTCGAACTCATTTTCCTTCCACTATTCTTGCGTTGATTCGTTCCGTCGTCACTCCCATTAAAATTCCCGAAGCGAGAGGACGTGCTTATTAATCATCATGTAAAAATGAACTTCACATAATTAAACTGTTTTTAAAGCATTGTATATGCATACGTATATAGGCCTTCTTGAGCCTTTCCCTTTTCCTTTCATTTTCTACTTTTAATAAATTTATGTATGCCGAGCCCTTTTTTACTCTCGCTGAGGCTAGGCCAGAAGAGTAAAAATCTCAGCCATAAAATGATTGTTTATTTATTTCCGCTTAATCAATCAACTTAATACTGTGTCTAATATGTAAATCCGATGACACTACAATAATATGATAACCTTGATATGATGCTGCAACGAGGACATTCTACCCAACATCTCAACTACCGCAGGCTCATTGCCTTGACCTCAACAAATAGTTGGCTTACAGATGTAGACTGATGAAGCAGCAGGAAGATGGACGCAAGAACTAACCTTCATTGAAGGTAGACCCACCGAGATTGAAGTCGTTCAATTGGCTTCGACAGTATTATGTAGACAAATGATCGATTTTTTAGAGTTTACTGATTCTGAGGTTGTCTATTTTTTTAATTGGATCTCAATTTGTATTGTTTTCTTCTTCTTCTTCTTTGTTTTCTGATCTAGCAGTCATTTCATTGCGTCACAGTGCAAACCGAGTGCAGGTAATAAGTAACGCTACAATATTATCTCCTTACATACTTAACGCCTAATTGTAGTAGATAGTTAAGACCTAGTCTTTGAACTAATTAAATATTTCCATTCTATCACAATGTTCACTATGTTTCGTAGAATGTATAAGTGAATACTTGTTTTGTCTTTTTGTCTTTAACCTGTGACGCCAAAAGAGTTAACTTTGAATCCCATTTCTGTGTATATACTTGTCTGTCTGTGGCATTGTAACTCCCAAACGAGCGGAGTGATCTGAAGGCTAATTTAATCGGGAAGGCGCTTGGCTCTGTTTGATGAATATCGGTTGAGCTATATAAAGTTCAAATCATATAATGAATATTTGTTTTTCTTTGTTCGATCGACTTGAAATTTGATGTAGTAAGAAAATCTGATGATATTTTTTTTATTATACCAATTGACAGGATGAAATTATACTAGCAAGGTATACTTGATCTGATTCTGCGAGACCGTCTGCAAACTACATAACTTCTCAACTATACTTATAGCAGAACTATCGTGTTTGGGATCATTGAATTGATCTCCACCAATAGATGGCGACTTTATGGTGTTCACTGTTTCGTACCGGGCATAATATAAATTTTAATTTAATTAGTTATATTCAGGTTAATATGCAATTTTTCAGCTTTGCTCTGTGTCGTCCTCCAAATATACCACATCAATATGAATAATGTTTAAACTACTATTCGTGTATGCTTTCTTGATGAGCTTTTTTATTTTCAGATAGTGGCAATCCCATACAAAGATAACAATAAAGTATCATTCGTTGTAGTTCTTCCCAAATCCAAAACTCCATCGTCTTTGACGTTGCTGTTGAAGGAACTCAAAAGGGCTCCAGACATGCTCAAGAATGCAATGAACGAAATGAAATATCAATCATTGACTCTTTCTATACCGAAGTTTAAAATTGAAACTAAATTTGACCTCAATGTTCAATACAGAAACGTAAGTCTTATGTAGGTTTCAATTTAAAAATATTAAAATGTTTTTAGCTAAAAAGGCAAATCAAAGTATCCACTAATGCTAAATAGTGAACACGGTAAAATTCAGTTGAAGGCTTAGTATGGTATTGTTGCCCACTTAAAAAAAAGATAACCAATGATATTCTTCAGCATGCAGACCTCGTGGAATCTAAACACTGAATACTTGAAAATATTTGCAGATTGGACTAAACTCGATGTTTCACGAAGGTATAAAAAAAATGGTAGAAGGTCGAGAATTATTCGTATCAAAGGCAGTGCAGTCTGCAATGATCGAAGTCAATGAACGTGGGACGATGGCGGCTGCTGCAAGCGGTAAAGTATTATTTTTCATGCTTTTATTACCTCTTTCTAAGGCGTAAAAAAATGAGACACTTTTTTCATATTAAATGTGCATATCTATGATACAGATTTTCATAAATCCGTGTTTTTAAAAGCCACTACTGGGCACGAATCTCGTCTAAGCGGCTTCATAACTTTTAAGTACTTTAAAGAGTTTTACGAGGCTTCTTCGAAAAGCAGATTTTATCGCTGTTATTGAACACCACTAAAGCAAGTTATGATATGAAAACAACTTAGTGGTACCTAAATCATTATTTTTTTTAAAGATACCAGATGACGGGATGAATAAGTCAATACACCTGGTGGTAAGCCTACCTATAACAGTTGCAGTGCCATTTAGAGCTTTAATGGCAAATATCAAAGGGGCACTGTCACTGCGCTGGTCACCCTAGGGCATAAACTTGCCGAATCCCACTTGCATTTAATTTTGCCAGCACCCATAACCTTCCAAACCGGAAAGCACTAATGCTCACATTATAGCTTGACGGCAGAAATAGGTAAGGCGGTAGTACATCCCTGGACGAACTCTTCCACAAAGAGCTCTACTGCTACTAAACTAATTATAGTTGTGTGTGCAGAACATGTGCAGAACTAACATTGAAATTTTTCAGTTGAGTAGCGACATATATAATAGAATTTTGGTTCAGAACTAAAAAGAGCGGCAGAAATTGGTAAGGTAGCAGTACTTGTCTGGAGGAACTCTTTCACAAGGTCTACTGCAAATTTCAAGACGCTCTATATGCTCTATCGTTCGGAGTTATCCAATGGACCCTTAAACTTAGCTAAGAACACGGTAAATTAATAATTCATATTCTTTGCTTTCAGCTGTGGATGTCAATTTTTTAAACGCAGTAATATCTAAAAAGGAAGTGACAGCAGATCATCCGTTCCTATTCACACTTGTGGCGAAAAATCAACAGTTATTTACAGGAATTTTTACTGGTTCTCGGCATCACTAGCACTAGATATGAGCCAAATAACTGGTCGCGGGTCGTCCGGAGAATTAAGTTTTTAGTTCGTACAGCCAAAAGCACGTGAAGCTTGACACTTTGTACTTTGGACCATTGTTATCGTAAGCGGCGTAGAGTTGGATTTAAAAGTTGACAGCTTGACGTGCTCTTTACATTACCAATTAGCATATAGTAAATTACTTCCATTCCGATCCGCATTGATGTAAATTAAGCCATTGTCTAACTTTTACGAGACAGACGAGCTACTGCTAGAAATATTTTTTTTTTTTTTTTTTTTATGACATTAAGTAACGGGACGAACAAGTCGTGTGCCTGATGGTAAGCTACACGCCTGCCCATAACAGTTGCAGTGCCACCAAGAGCTTTAAATTACAAAGATCTTGGGGGCACTGCCACTGCGCCCGTCACCCTGAGACATAAGTTGACAAGTCTCATGTGCCTGTAATTTCACCAGCACCCTTACCCTTCACAACCGGAACACAGTAATGTGACCATTACTGCTTGGCGGCAGAAATAGGTAAGGTGGCAGTACTTCCCTGGACGAGCTCTTTCACAAGGAGCTCTACTGCTACTAAATATGAAGCAGGGCTGTGTCACTCGCTCGAGGTTACGCGATATGTACCTACCGCTGAGTGCGCCGACGACGGCGAAAGCGCTCTTACAAGTCTTTCATTCATGGCGGGCAACATTATTTTCATCTCTCAGAGCACGTGCTTTGATTCCTTTTCCCTCGTAGTGAGCGCCCGGTGTCATTAGTCAGATTTAGTAGACTATTACAGCGTAGCTATTTTCGATTTTGTATGAGAGTGACGTATCTGTTACGTAGTAACTATCAAGTAATCTATGTATAAAGTGATAAATTGCCTTGTAGCGACATTTAGACAGACCGTAAAAGGTCCAATTGCATTCACTGGAAGGATATTAAAACCCTAAGTGTATTTTGATGATGTTTTGGATAAATAGATGGGCGTTGACAGGAATCGAGTTTGAAAACTAAGTACACTATGTTAACGCAAGTTAATAATCTCACAAATATCGTGATTATTCTGTTTAGGAACACAGTGACTCTTTTAATTAGCAAAAATACGACGTTCTCTTTTGAAATTTTATTTTATTATACTAAATCAGGGACGAACACGTCGTGCGCCTGGTGCACTCAAAGCTTTAAATCACAAGAGGTACTGCCACTGCGCCCGTCACCCTCAGACATAAGTTGACAAGTCCAATTTGCCTATAATTTCACCAGCACCCTTACCATTCAAAACATTACTGCTTGGTGGCAGAAATAGGTAAGGTCGCAGTACTTCCTGGACGAACTCTTTCACAAGGAGCTCTTCTGCTACTAAACTAATTATAGTTGTGGTATGAAACATTTGAAGAACTATAATGAAATTTTTCAGTTTATCTTACCTAGCCATTTATCATAGACAATAGAATTTTCGTTCAGAATTAAAAAGAGCGCCTTTGTGATTTGGTTTATGAAATTATAATTGATAGGAGTAGAAAAAGATTTTTACGTCATAGATTTTGATTAAATCGTAACTTTGATGTCAATCAATTAGCCTAGTTCAGTCCACTGGTGGACATAGGCCTCCACAAGTGTACGTAATAGTGACGACGTCCTACGTTACGTTTGCCGAGACATGGTCTCCATTCGAAAACCCGTCTCTCCATCGCTCATCGTTTCTGCGACAGGTGTGGCCAGCGCCGGATAACTTCGTTCCGGGCTTTGTTCCTTAATTTTGATGTCATTAGGCCATATCTGGAAAATGACTCGTTAGTACTTAGTCGATAACTTATGTACGCTTCAATAGAAGATCTGTAAAATTTCACATATACATTTTGTTTCATGCAGTTCGGGTTATTTTTGTATCTTTCGTGTGAGAATAGCCCTTTTGACCCATGATCACACGTGGTTTTAGTATACCATGTATACTAAATGTTACTATTAATTTGGAAGGTCTGCCTTATAATAGAGAAAGCAAATTACACTTCTAATCATCTTCCAATTGTTAAATTGTTGGGTCACTACCAACTTATTCGCAGATTACCTAAGTAGAACGAATAAGAAACTCCGGGGAGTACACAGAGTGTACATAGGACATCGTTGCTTCAGGGTGGTTCTTTGTAAATTTTTGGTTTTTCAGATTTATCAGTTGCTACTTATTTTACTGCAAACAGTCTCACCCTCTACTCGACAAATCCAAACTAAAGCCGGGTACTCACTGCGAGCGGTAACCGTAACAGTTGCATGTAAAGCCGGGTACATAATAGTGAGCTATAACTGTAACGTGCAGTACAGTAACGAGGTTCTAGTGTGTGCGCTTGAAACAGTCTTCAATTAGACGGCTCACTGCGAACCGCTCGACAATAACCAAGTACTCATTCTAGCGAGTGAAGACTTGTTTCACGCGTATAAACTGGAACCTTGTTACTGTATCCGTCACATTACAGTTACAGCATGCTAATGAGTACACGGCTTTAAATGTTGATAATCAGGTTGTTTAATAAAGTAAACGATAGAATAAATTTTTCGTGACTTAAACATTCAAAAGTCATCTCTCAACGATCTCTCTCCCTGCCGATCTACCGGTGAACTTACTTTCTCTACTTTTTGCGCTACTTTGTATTTAAAGTGACCGGCGATAGAACTTGTAGTAAATGTAAATACAGATGTAGGTTTTATAACAATGCCACAAAAACGCAACCGCTAATACATCATAAGTACACATAAGAGCTAAATGGGTCGCTAACGTCAATTATTGTTATCGATGTAGGCAAAAGATGTTCAATAAATAACTCTTTATGTATATATGTTTTTGTTTTACTTGCATTTTATATAGTTTTAAATTTAAACCTCGTAAGTGACATATAATGTCGACGTTACTATTATAATAAAAGCGTATATATGAATGACTTTTTTTGCTATAATTAAGTGATGGGACGTTAGGATGGGACAAATCAATAGCATGATATTCCACGTGGAAACCGTATAATATTGACCCCAATTTATTATATTTTTGACTACACAAGTTGTACGGACGGCTGTGAGGGAACGACTGGTAGCGCGCGGGGCGCGTAATAATAATAGGCTTGAAAAATGATTGCAATGTTTAATGAATCCCTACAACGACGAACAACATCAAGTCGCATGCCGTCCATCTCTGGTAAGCGACACGTCTACAACAGTTGCAGTGTCAAAATTTTTATTGAATTGATATTCAATTACTCAGAAAAAATTCCTTCGATCCGGCCGGATTCGAACCGACATCTTCTAGCTTACCGTGCCAGACGCTATACTAACTAAGCCACAGAACGAACCAGCGGATCTCACGAATTTTTCTATGTGTTTTTGTTGTCGCGTCTTTGTATTTGGTTTTTCAACAAGTTGCAGTGTCATTCAAAGGTCTTACTCGCAAAGACCTTAGGGGTACTACCACTGCTCCCGCCCGTCAGCCTGAGACATAAAGTTAACAAGTCTCATATGACTGCAGTTTCATCATTGCAACAACCGGAATGCAGTAATGCCCATATTAATAGAATAGAAATCGTTTATTACTACGCCACAACAAAAATATACACAGTAATAAAATAAAGATAAAAAAGATGAAGCTAAATTAAAACAAAAAATTAAAATAAAATAACAGGAAAAAAAGGAATGAAAATAAAATCATACACAACAAAGCAAACATTAAATATTCAACACATTTAGACTGAATGTCATGTGTGCACCTGTGGCGTATGCAACAGGATCCTACTCAGCTATTGTCACCACCGAGAAAAGGCTGTGACGCTGATTTTCAGTGGGCCCTAAAATTTACTACTGTTTAAATTACAGCTTGAATTTATATTACTGCACACACTACATCTATTCATACTTCTGTTCTCACCGCGAACTAAGCTAATCGAGCTAACTAAACTAACCCAACGATCCAACTAGGCTAAGTAAAATATGTCACCCTTCTACCGCCCTTCACGAATCCATAGTCAATACTTGCTACATATTTTTTTAGCTCAGCTCAACTACGTGTGCTAAGGAAGCTAACTTGTTTGTATGCAACTACGTGAGCTACGTTGGCCTGCGCTTTAGGTATGGTGACATCACTTCCCTGAACGAGCTTTTTAACTGAAGCTTTATTGCTAAACGAAAATTGCGTTTTAAATATTATAAAAGTAAAAATAAAATGGACAAGGATAAATTTATAAATTATTCTAAAATTCTAAGAAAATGTATTTATGACGCTCAAAAGAATCATAACGCTAAGTTTATTAGAAGACATAAAAATGTATGTAAGGCATCTTGGACAGTTATAAAGGATCGCCATAATAAGAAAAACCCCCACTCTTGACATAAAAGATTTAAAGGTGGGAGACAGAACACTGTCAGAACCTTCTGAAATGGTCACAGAATTTAACAGTTATTTTACTAATATGACGAATGATAATAATTTAATAATTGACAAAGGAAAGTATAACACTCTGACAACGATACAAACGACATTAAATTCATTTTACATCAAACCTTTTTTAACACAGGACATTATTAAAATTATACAATCCCTAAGCAATAGTAAGGCTTGCGGTTATGATGAAATTTCAACAATGATTTTTAAACAATGTAAGAATGAACTAGCACCTGTCCTGACATATCTCGTAAATTTGTCCTTTGAAAATGGAAATTTCCCTGATTTATTGAAATTATCAATTGTTAAGCCGATACATAAGAAAGGAGACAAATCTGATACATTAAATTACCGCCCTATCACTCTTATTCCGATACTGGCTAAAATATTCGAAAAATGCATGTTTCTTAGATTAATGGACTATTGTATTAAGTTCAGCATCATTAAACCAGAACAATTTGACTTTCAAAAAGGAAAATCGACAACAGATGCAGTATTCAATATTATCGATACAGTTAGTAAAGCTCTTGATGCAAACAAATACAGTACGGTGTTGTTTCTTGATATGTCTAAAGCCTTCGATCATGTGGCACATGATACACTATTAAAAAAATTCGAGAAATATGGAATTAGAGGCATAGCATTAGATTGGTTCAAATCGTATCTACAAAATAGGCAGCAACGTGTAGAATTAAACTATTTAGATAAAAATAATTTTATTAAAACTTGCTGTTCGGAAAACCGATTGAATAGGTTTGGTGTTCTTCAAGGAAGCATATTAGGGCCTCTACTATTTTTATTATATATAAACGACCTGTCACTGATAACTAAATGTAAATGTATGAT